TCAGTCGCGGTGTTCAGCAGTAATCCTTCTTATTTGGAATCTTTTGAATTGAAAGATGAGCAATCTTTCACCAGGCCTCCTCTTTCCTGTCTTCTGAGGAGCAGGTTACAAGCGAATCAAGTTATTCCCACAAGTTGCAGAGGGTACTGGCAAAGAACCTTGAAAAATTAGGCAAAGGGCCATATGCAAGTCAAACACAGATTGCCTATGTTGCAGTAGGCAATCTAAGGCACTCCCGATATGATTGAACTAGAACTCCCAGCATTCTTAAGCAATAATGGCCAATGATAAGCATGCTTGGATTTGTATTTCAGAGCATCTTGACATCACAAATTACTTATCCCTGCTTCATGGCCATTGATTTCTCAACAAATTGCTTTATATACATCTTTGTTTGTTGGAGCTGAAATTGTGTAGTTGGAGACTACGATACTCAGATTGGGTCTCTGTGCCATGTAGAACCATGTGCAGGATCAGGTCATTGGGGTTGTAATGGGGGGGGGGCAGGATGGGAGCAAGAACTATATTTGTTCTTGTTAAGCAATGAAGAATAGTTTCCATTACTGCTGATAGCCGTAGTAATTCTAACTCTGCATTGTCATATTATGACTTTCATTCAGTCGTTCTCAACCTTTTCTTTACCACGGACCCTTTTTAAATACTGTTTTTTCAGAGTATAAGACGCACTTCCCCCCACCCAAAAAAGTGGGTGGAAATGTCTGTGTGTCTTATACTCCGAATATTGCGGAGGGGGGGGAGGGAGGTTGGTGCGGCACCGATCAGCTGTTCTAGAAGGGGCCACTGTGGCATTAGTGAATGGGCTATGGCAATGGCAAATGGGCGGCAGCAAACGGGCCGTGCCCAGCAGGTGGCGATGGCGGTGAATGGGCCGCACCAAATGGGTAGCAGCGAATAGGAGCTGGTGGTGAATGGGTGCCGGGGAACAGGCTGCAGTGAATGGGCTGTGGTGAATGGGCAGCAGTGAATGGGCCGCAGTGAATGGGTGGCAGCAGCAAACAGGCCAGATGAATACCGGATGGATGCTGGGAGGCAGAGGCAGATTTTTCCCCCCTTGTTTTCCTCCCCAAAAGCTAGGTGCATCTTATAGTCTGGAGCATCTCATGGACCAAAAAATACGGTACCTTTTGTGGCCATGGACCCCCAAGACGTAACTCAAGATTTAAATCACAACATATCTTCAAGCCTTTGCAGATGACATTGTGCCCCCCCCGCCCCCAGGGATCTGTGGATCAGAGGTTGAGAACCACTGATTTATATGATTGTTACAGTAGATGATGTCATCAGCATTATAAAATTGATAGCGTACTGTTCAAGGCCTCGTTCTTTAATGAACACAGATCACAGTCATTGATAGGCCTTGTCTCCAAAAAGGAGCAAAACAGATAAGAGTTTTATTCTGAAATTGCCCTCTGAGTTCTGGAAACAGGAGTGAAATGTATTGTGCTCTGAAAAACTGAGCATCAGATAGCAAAGGGAAATAAATGAGCTATGTTGTGTAATGTGACAAGTTGCAATCTTCCCGTTTCTTCTTGGCTTCATAATTCCTTTAAGATACATATAAAACTGCCCTGAAGATGAATGTATCCCTCTAAAAGCGAGAAGCTCTATAAACTCCGAGACAATAAAAGTTCAATTTCAACACTCCCCCTGTTTAATACGATTGAGTCTCTCATAGGCAGATGTACTGATGGTTGATATAAGACCGTGCTGGAGAGGATTCCCACAAGCGTAGAGGAAAAGAGATGAGGCATGCAGAAAACTTCTGCATTAAAATAAGCTCTGGTGTCCAGTCCCTCAAACTTTGTGGGAATCAGGAATTATGATACCTGCAATCTTCATGCTTCTATGCAGGTAATTCAGAGTAGCAAACTGGAGCAAGGGGAATTAAGCTGAATATATCGCACCCAAGAGAGCCAGTTTGGTCTAGTGGTTAAGGCCCCAGGCTAGAAGCCAGCAGACTGTGAGTTCTAATCCTGCCTCAGGCATGAAAGCCAGCCGGGTGACTTTGGGTCAGTCAACCTCTCTCTGCCCAGCTCACCTCACAGTGTTGTTGTTGTTGTGGGAAAAATAAGAGGAGGAAGGAATAGTGTGTGTCTTTTCCATCTTGACTTGTTTATAAAGCCACCCAGAATCACCTTATAGGCGAGATGGGCAGCATAAAAATTTAATACAAGAAAGAAAGAGAGAGAGTGGGGGGAAGGAAAAAGAAGGGAAGGAAAGAAGGAGAAAAGAAAGAAAAAAAGAAAAAGGAAGGAAGGAGGAAAGAAAGAGAAAGAAAGAAAAGAAGGAAGGAGGGAAGAAGGAAAGAAGGAAGGAAGGAGGAAATAAATAAAATAAATAAATGACAACTCTATCCTTTATTCTAGAAGTGCCTGGAGAAGGAGGCAAGATAAACAGATTAGAAACATATTTTGGTGGAGACAGGGTTAAACCTTTACCTACTATTTGCTGAAGACCACAACCAAGGTCACAACACATTATCAAGAGAGTATTCCTATGCCTTCGTGTGCTGTTCTTCATGAAAAGTGAAAGAGTGATCTACCCTAAACAACAGATAGAACAATGTGATAGATAAAAACTCTGACTAAATAAATATTCCTAGGAGAGATTCTAGGTAAAATATTGAATTCTAAACATGAACAGCCTAGACTCTGAACAAAGGAAGACTCAGACAGGCCCTAGATAATCTAGGCAGTTCTTCTTCACGCAACCTATCTCACCATCATTGGTCAAATGAAAAACTATCACCATAGCTTTACAGAAAAATAGAAAGCCAGGAAGAAGCCTACTGATGAAAACCAAGTACAGAATATCTGCAATATCCCTTGACTCTAAATGCAACCATTTTGTGAGCAATCTCTGAATTCTTTTTTCCTCCTAAATCCTGATGGATTAGCTAAGATTTAGATAAAACCGGTGGTTATTTTTTTTTCCAGATTTCTGTATTTTTCTTGAAAACTCTCCCAAACTCTTTAGCTGCTGAAGTTGGATATTAAACTGCTAACAGCTGCTAATAGATTCAAGATGAGAGGCATCATGTAAAAAAAAAAAGTATGAGTAAAATAAGTAGGCTCTGGATGTATTAAATATTTGGCTTAAATGTTGCTAATGTACGTTAGAAAGTATGTTCCCAGATGAACTATTTCATTTCATAAAGAAATAAATATGCCAACGATCTCTGAATTTTGTCTGTGTCTATGTAATGCTATGCATCTGAATTGCTTATTTTTTGTGTGTTTTGTTCGCAAAATCAATTGATTTTGTGCACATTCTTCAGTTGTGTGGGCTTTGCAAAGCAGCCCATGGTGATAGCCTTTGTGAACACCGCAGGGCAATTGATAACAGAAGTGATGAACCTTGATGTAAGAGATGGCCAGGTTGAGTCAAAGGGAGGGGTCAAGCATGTCATCAGTCTTGAGTCCCTTCATGCCCACAAGAGATCTAAGTCCAGCCCACCTTGAATTCTATTGACTCTTATCTACTGCCAATTTGCTTTGACCATTAGTAGCTCAGATTCTTGTAGAGAGTGTTAGCATGCAATAAATCTGGATTCATTTGCTTCCTGATTTCCTGTGCTTAACACTTGAGCGCTGTTTCCCTCATCATCTTTGGGTTACAAGAAATGAATCACTATAAATACATTTTGTGACTGAATTGGCATGCCAGCAAATAAATTAAATAAATAAAATTTTCAATGTCAAATACTTTGGCTTAAGACTCTCATATCTTCCTTCAAATGCCTTTCCTTATATGGCTAATACCTACTCTATCTCTCTGTCTATCATATATTGACTATTTTATTGTATTAAATACCATATAGGCTTGATTCATGTAATGGCTCACTGATTCAGAAAACAGCCCAATTTACCTTGGAAAGATACAATATTTTACTCAATCCCAAACAAAATTCACAGTCCAAAGTTGAGACTCTCCCATTGACTGTTACTGGGAATCAACACGTATCTATAATAGTTTAATTTTGCATTTTAAAAAAGTTTAAGTTTAGTTAGACAATGCTGCATGTATGTATTTTCAAATAGTTCACCTTACATTGCGTTTTTTTTTGTCCGCTTTCATTATAAAACCAAGAATTACCAGTAATGTTTAATGTTGTTACACCCACAAGTTTCAACACAATCCTTTTTTGGGGGGTGGGGTGGGGGAATTGATCACAAAATAATCATGTAGCATTATTCCAGCTCTTTATAAAATGTGGTTGGGCTAATGTTGATATTCCCCTCTCTTCTGGAAGCAAAAAGAACCATATGTGGGATGCCTCTGGCAACTTATCTTCATCATAACTGCCCCTGCAGACACAATCTCTATATTGTTATCATGTTTTAAAATTATCTGCTTGCCTAATTTGTCTGAGCTGGTTTGCTAAAAGGCACTCTTTCTTTTGGGGAAAAAAAGACTAGAGGATTCATTTGTGCTCTATTGTTTCTTCTTTTAGTTCCTTTTGTTTAATGCTCTTTATAGTTTGGGCCGCCTGGTATATATAAACAGCAGTTCTCTCTCTCTCTCTCTCTCCCTCCCTCCCTCCCTCCCTCCCTCCCTCTCTCTGTATGCCTGAGAGAAGAATAAGATAGATATATAATTTAAGACTGTCAATCTAGCAAGCAGCTATGGTTTCCACTGTCCCTGGAATTAATTACAAACATCCTCCCTTCCTCCTACCAATTTATCTTCTCATATAGACACAAGGAACTCTGTTAACTCATGATTTTTGACAAAACATGTTGTCTAGAGAAATACATTTTTTACTTTTCAAACATGTCCTCATTTCAACTACACAAACTCTAATCAAATTTTGTCCTAGCATCCAGTAACTCTAGAATGTGGCTTGTATTCTTAACTCTGCCTCTGAAATCTCACTGAAGCTGGATAGTAAGTGTATGACTGCAGAGAAAGAGGCTTGCATAAATATCCTCAGAAATATTCTAAATATATATTCACATTTGTTTTTTGGTTCTGCTCACCTCTCAGAAGTTTTATGTGTGGTTCCAATGATGTCAGCTCCCCATAAAAACCCATAAGAGCAAATTTCATGTTGTGGATTCTTTCACTTCAGTCACACAGCAGATGGTAACCAGCTGGGAAGCCAGACTTATTTCTGAAAATGCATCATCCCTTGTACAATATCTTAATCACTATCAGTCTATGGAAATGCTGCTTTAAGCCTGGTCAGTTGACAGAACAAAAGCTTCCTTCTCTCTGCAAATTATACCTACAGTGCTTTAAATGCTGTTATTAATGTGAAAAACCTTAACCCACAGCTTCTGTTTCATTGATAGCTACAACAAGACTATTCTCTTCCTTTTCATTCTTCAAGCCAAAACTGTAACTGTGCCTGTAAACAGCACCCAGATCAAATATCACCTATTGTTCAGACCATTGAACCCATAGGACTATGATACAACTTAGTATAATGAAATAAATTGTGATTTGTTGTTGTTGTTTTTTCCTTCTGGAGGATTAGCCTGCCCTTATATAATCAGGATGGAAATCTGCTATTATTTTGCACTAGTGGTGAATCTCTGTAGCTCGGGTGTAGGATGAGGGTGAAGGTTCATTCTTCAAGCTTGTAGGTTGGTTTCCAAACATTTCATTACCAAGCTAGGTAAAATCTTCAACGGCATTTTTTTTAAAAAAATTGATTTATATGCCGCCCTTCTCCGGAGACTCAGGGCAGCTTACAATGTGTTAAGCAATAGCCTTCATACTTTTGTATATTTATACAAAGTCAGCTTATTGCCCCCATAATCCGGGTCCTCATTTTACCTACCTTAGAAAGGATGGAAGGCTGAGTCACCCTTGAGCCTGGTGAGATTTGAACTTGCAGTAATTGCAGACAGCTGGTGTTAATAACAGTGCTTTAGTCTGCTGCGCCACCAGGCATTCAGGGCAGTGGTGGGATTCATCCGGTTTGCACCGGTTTAGGTAAACCGGTTGTTAAATTACCTCCCCCCGCTATCAAAGTGGATCCTGGGCAGTGCGCTGCAATGGAGAAACGGACAAGGGAAGGAGAAGGCTGCTTTCCCTCTTTCTTCTCCCTGCTCCGTCTCCTTCCCTTGTGCCGGCTGCTCCATTGCTCGTTTCTCCATTGCAGCGCAGCGCCCAGGATCCACTTTGATAGCGGGTGGTGGTGGTAATTTAACAGTTCACCCAGGGTCAAATTGGCCATTGTGGGAGGCTCCTCCTGCATGTGCAGTGGAGCTGGGGGATGGGCCACTTCTCCCACGATGGCCAACCTGACCCTGGGCAAACCGGTTGTTAAATTATTGGAATCCCACTACTGGTTAGGGGAACACCTAAACTCCGCTGAAGATGTTACCTAGCCTAGTAATGAAACGTTCGGAAACCAACCGACAGGCTCGGAGAACGAATCTTCACTCTCATGCTATTATCTTTTTTAATGGAATTTGAGTGAAAAATAAAAACCACCAAAACAAAATAATCAGAAACTGGGTGGTTCATTTCCCAAAGTTAAATCAGGCTTTTAAATGCAATTACATTGAACGGTGTAATGGAAACAATAAAAATGAATATTGTCTTATTGGAGGTAAAATAGGTGGGAAGAATTAGGTCCTTTAAGGTTGCAGCTGTCTTCACTGCTGATGCACCATGCAACAGTAAGAAGGAAACGCCAAGGTCCAAGGAAGAAGATGCCACACGGTGCTTTGGTTACATGCAGATGAGTGCTTGTGTACATTCTTTTTACCTGCTGGTGGTTTCAGAAAGTGCAATGTGACTCCAACAGGAGTCAAAAGTAAGCAAAGCAAAAGCACATACATGCAAAATATTAGCCAAATATTCGTGCCCTAGGAATGACCACTGTGCAACTCTCAAGCTGTGTTTTTTCCTTCCTTTCCTCTGTGGAGATTTTCAGTGAACCAGGCTGTGGTTGTCCCAAAGGAGCTTTTTCAAGAGGCAACTGGACTTCTTTGTTTTTCCTTGAAGAGGTTTCACTTCTTATCCAAGAAGCTTCTTCAGTTCTCCAGTTGCCTCTTGAAAAAGCACCTTTAGGACTTTCTTCCTTTCCACTTTTGTTTTCTGAGGGCAAAGATTGTTCACAAAGAGCCTAGTGGGTATTCAGGAAGATATCAGCAGCACACTCAAAAATAAGATGGGTAGCAATCAGAATAAAGATCTAATCTTTTTGTGCCTTTCTACCTATAGATATTGAAACAGGTTTACTGCGATGGTGTGATGGTTGCACTGGGCTGGGTACAGGTGTATTAAAGGGTGTCATTCAACATAAGGCAGCAGTTTAGCAGCCATGTAATGTGGTTGGCCAGGTGCTTCCCACATCCTCCTCTGCCTTTCAAGCAAGTTGCATAGACAACAGGGTTTTGTTCAGCCTCTGGAAGCTCACAGTGGCTTTAAGGCATAAGACTGAAGTTGTTTACTGATTCCCACTTCTCAATTTCGCAAGATTTAAATTATGGAAATTAGGCATGAATCAGAATGCAGCATCCCAAACCACGACATATATTTCTGACACAGAACTAAACTACATTCTCAGCCCCAGCTCAAATCTGTTATATAAATAAAATCCTGCTTTCCCTCCACTCCCAATTTTTATGATTCTCTTGGTGAGATTATTTTATTTCTTTGTCCTCTTCCCCATCTCATGCCTCTCACAAATTGAATTTATTCATAGATGCATCATAGAATTGTGGAATTGGAAGAAAGACAAAGATTGCTAGTCTAACTCTCTACAATGGACAGGAAAAATATATTTAATTATCAGCCTTAAATTGAGAAAGAACCTTCTCTTCAAAACCTTCAGAGATGGAGAATCCACCATTCTTAAAGATAAATTATTCCAGTATGGCCCAGATCAGGAAGTTTTACCTTATGTTTAAATGAAATCTCAGTTGCTGCACTTCATTGCCATTATTTCTGGTCCTAGTTTCTGTGGCATGGAAAATATGTTATTATCAACCCAGATGCCAGTATCAAGGCCACCCAGAGGAAGTCTTCCTGAGGAAAGATGCATATTTAAGACATAGTGGGAAAACATGGGGGAGAAGATTTTTGTTGTTGTTGTTGGAAAGTCAGAAAGACAATTCCTGGAAAAAGCAGCAAGGAGGTATAAGCCAGAGTGTTGGCAGAATAGAAATAGAGGGCTAAAAACAGTGGTGAAATCCATTTTTTTTTACTACCAGTTCTGTGGGCATGGCTTGGTGGGCGTGGTGTGGCTTGGTGGGCATGGCAGGGGAAGGATACTGCAAAATCCCCATTCCCATCCCACTCTGGGGCCAGCCAGAGGTGGTATTTGCCAGTTCTCCGAACTGCTCAAAATTTTCGCTACCGGTTCTCCAGAACCTGTTAGAACCTGCTGGATTTCACCCCTGGCTAAAAGACTTCCAAGCTGGCATCATTTCCCATTAGAGTTGCTTCAGTAACTTATGATTTTGGCTTAATTACCAAAAGGAGAGGAACTGCTTATTATGTATGTCAAAGGTACTTGGATCAGCAGGTAGTGCTACAGATTTTTTCCCTCCTTTGCTTATAATTTCCCCTGCTATTTTCCAAAAAAGTAAAGAGGATGTGAAATCCTATCTATCTGACACCCTGGGGAGTACAACATGTAAAGGCATCTCCGGGAAGATATGTGATTGCAGCAATAATTACCAAGGGCAACATCTAAGTAAAAAGGTTGGCCATATTTTATAATCCAGAGGGCTTCTTGGAGGAAAGGATTTGAGAAATATACTTGTGCAACTCAGATGTTTTCTATGACCACAGAAAGTAGGACATTATTTCTGGTCCAAGTTTCTGCAGCCACAGAAAATACTTATTGTATGTTCTAAAATAACTTTCCAGGTATTGATGATGGGCTCATTGGCTATTAGGATCTTGGTTTTCCTCTCTTTCTTGAAGAACCTCTTTTGCTTCTTGTATGGATAGTGGGGATCAGGGGTGAAATCCAGCAGGTTCTGACAGGTTCCGGATAACCGGTAGTGGAAATTTTGAGTAGTTCGGAGAACCAGCAAATACCACCTCTGGCTGGCCCCAGAGTGGGGTGGGAATGGAGATTTTGCAATATCCTTCCCACAGGAGTGGGGAGGGAATGGGGATTTTGCAGTATCCTTCCCCTGCCATGCCCACCAAGCCATGCCCACCAAGCCACACCACGCCCACCAAGCTACGCCCACAGAACTGGTAGTAAAAAAATTTGGATTTCACCACTGATGGGGATATTAATCTTATGGAATGTAGGCACTCCGGGAGATTAACATTCTATGTCCAAATGAACAATCCAATCTTTTAAAAGTATTTGGGTTGAATATTAATGCACACTGATGATATCCAGCTTTCTGTCACGTCACCAGGCTGTGCTGTTAAAGCTGTCAAAATACTGCCACAATGTCTGGAGGCGGTTTGGGTCTGAATGGGGAAAAACTGATTTTGGCTTTATTTTGCCAAGGCTGTGGCTGTTTGCCACCCACTTCCAAGGTCAGGGATGTTTTCATTATTGGTCTTGATGGGGGTAGCACTTCCCCATTCTAGACTGGTGTACAACTTTAGGGTCCATCTGGACTTGTAGCTACTCAAAGAGCAGGTGGCAGCTTTGCGCCGGTTCATTTTATATGCCAGTTGCATTTTTTCCTTGATCAGAAGGCCAAAGACAGTTACTCATATTCTGGTCAGATCATAACTGGATTATTGCAATGCAGTCTACATGCAGCTATCTTTCAAAATCATCCAGAAGCTACAGCTGGTACAAATGCAGTGGCACAATAGTAATGGGTGCCCTCCTGGTATGGCAAGGTGTCACCACGGCTTCATCAGTTGGATTAGTTGACAGTCAATTTCCAGTACAATTTCCAGTACAATTCAAGGGGCTAGTTATTAATACAAAGCCCATTATAATTACTTGAGAAACCACCTATCTCCAACCAGTTTTTGTGGTGGCACAGTGGTTGGAAAGCTGTATTGCAAGCTAATTCTGCTGACTGCCAATTGCCAGCAGTTTGGCGGTTCGAGTCTCACCGGCTCAAGGTTGGCTCAGCCTTCCATTCTTCCCAGGTTGGTAAAATGAGGAATCCAGATTGTTGGGGG